CTTTTATGTGGGGAGAGCTGGGTATTGGGGATTGAACCTAGGGGTGCTCAGCCACTGATCCACATCCCCAGCCCTTTTTTGTATTTTATTTAAAGACAGGGTCTTGCTAAATTGGTGAGGCCCTTGCTAAATTGCAGAGGCTGGTGTCAAGCTTGGGGTTCTCCTGCCTCAGCTTCCCAGGTTGCTGAGATTATATGCCACCATGCCTGGCTAGTACTTGTAATCTCTTGGTTTTTGCACCTTATTTATTTTATTTCCTGGGGATCTGCACCTGGACACCTCTCAAAATGTCAGCTCCATTAAGACATGGTTTCTTCTGTTTTGTTTACTATTGTATCTCTAGCACCCAGAACAGTGTCTGGCTCATTGATTCAAAGGGTATTTGTTGAATAAAAAGATCTTTATAAAGGACATTGTATAGGCTGAAATACATTAATACATTCTAATGTCTCAGATAATTTATTGGGAGGGGGAGAATGAACAATGAAGGAAATCTGAGAAGCCCATCACTGTGAGTGAATGGAGAACGGTTATCAAAGTCATCTACTTTTCCCCACTAGAAGGGCTTCCATCCCTGCTTGGATACCACCGAATACTTGTAAACTTTTGCAGAGACACAGGGTAGTAAAAAGGATCAGAACTGTCCATCCATTGTGTAGCAGTGAAGTCATCAGGCACTAATGGGCTTCAGTATGTGGTCGGTCTCCTCTGATCCCCTTCCCTGCTCTGTAGAAGAGATTGCTAACATTCACGGGGTTGTTTGGATTATAGGTCAGAATCTGGAAAGCTGTAGTAATCGCCCTTGGAATGTAAGTAATGGTAGGAATTATTGTGATAATGACACTATTTCTAGACCAAAACTACACACACACACACACACACAACACACACACACAAAAAAAAAAAACTACCCCAGATTAGTTTATCAGTATAGAGTAGATGAATTTAAATAAACTAGCAAGTAGGCTTCTTAATAGAATAATATATGAAGAGTTTGTCTGAATCATGTCTGAAGGTTAAGTATATGAAAATCAATATTATAAACTATGTCAGGACAAATACGAATGTAACATCCTTATCTCTAGTCATTTTGCAAAACCAAATAAAATTTAGTGTCCATTCTTAACTAAGATACTGAGCTGATGATGAAGAGCTTGTGTATTAATCAGCTTCATACATACACTGAGGAACATTATAAGTATCCCTAATTAGGGAAGAGAAAGATTGCCTGCTATTACTATTGTATTATAACCTTATTTTAGTTCTGATCAAAATTTCATGAAATTTTCAAAGTAAAGCAATAATAGTTGTTCGGACTAGTAAAAGAAGATACAAAACAGGCATAACAGGTGTAAATATTAGGAGAGATAAGCTGGGTGTGGTGGCCCACACTTGTAATCCCAGCAGCTTTGGAGGCCAAGGCAGAAGGATTGCAAGTTCAAGGCCTGTCTCAGCAACTTTGCCAGACCTATCTCAAAATTAAAAAGAAAGACAGACAGACAGGGTGTAGCTTAATGGTAGAGAGCTTGCTTCAAAGATGAGGCCTTGGGTTTCCTCCATAGGACACTAAAATAAAACAAAACAGTTCCCAGAAACTAGCCAAGGGTCAACTTTGTAAGCAGACCTTTAAGAGGAAGGTAATTGGGCCTATTATGGCAACTCTGCTGTACATAGTATTTAAATTTTGTTTTTTCCAGAAGAGAGAGGTTGATTAGCAAAGGTAAAATGAGAGAGGAGAACTGGAAAAATAACAAATGATGTCATTTTAACACTGCTCAAGAACATGAACGGCATGCATTGTGAAGATCCAAAAGCCATCTTCTCAGTGTGGAAGACACCTCAGTCAATCTGCCTTCTCTGAGAGACCCTTAATATTATTCAAATTATTCTCTCTGTGGTTTTGTTTTATTTTATTTTGGGCCTGGGATTGAACACCGGGGGTGCTCTACCACTGAGCCACTTCCCCAGCCCTTTTTATATTTTAGTTAGAGACAGGCTCTCGCCAAGGTGCTTAAGGTCTCAGCTTTCCAAGTTGCTGGGATTACAGGTGTGCACCACCAGGTGTGGCTTCCCTTTGTTTTGAATGCAAGATATTTCTAAATTATCTTAATTATTTTTTTAATATTTTTCGTATTGGCGTTATATTCACAAAGTTGCAAAATAAAAAATTTCAGATAGGCACTGGGCACAGTGGCTCACACCTATAATCCCAGCTACTTGGGAGGCTGGAGCAGGAGGACCACAAGGTCAAGGTCAGCCTGGGCAACTTATTGAAACCTGTCTCCAAGTTAAATTAAATTTAAAAAGAACTGAGGATGAAGGTAATTGGTAGAGCATTCCTTAGTTCAATCCCAAGAAAACTAAGAGTTGCAAAAGACTTTTTTAAATGTTGAGGAATATTTGGATAAAGAAACCAAATGGTGGTGCATGCCTGTACTCCCATTGACTCAGGAGGCTGAGCTAAGAGGATCACAAATTCAAAGCCACCCTAAGCAACACGGTGAGGCCCTAAGCAACTTGGTGAGACCCTGTGTCAAAATAAAAAACAAAAAGGGCTGGGGATATGGCTCAGTCATAAGGCACCCCTGGGTTCAATCCCCAATACAAAAAAAAAAAAATTTAAAAAAGGAACCAAATGTTAATTATGGAAGTGAAAATATTATAGTCATCATTTTATTTATTTATTTGGTTCTGGAGTCTAAATCAGGGGCACTTTACCACTGAGCTACATTCCCAATGCTTTTGGTATTTTTATTTTGAGATAGGATCTCAAGTTGCTGAGGATCTCGCTAAGTTGCTGAGACTGGCCTACACCTTGCAATACTCCTGTCTCAGCCTCCGGAGCAACTGGGATTACTGGTGTGTGCCACCATATACCTGGCCTATACATTTTATTTTTTACAAAAAAATTTCTATAGGTGTTGGGGTTGTTCTATAGGCACTGGGTTCGATCCTCAGCAACACATAAATATAAAATAAAGATTCTGTGTCCACCTAAAAACTAAAAAATAAATATTAAAAAATTTTTATAGATGTAGATGGACACAATGTCTTTATTTTGTTTATTTTTTAATGCAGTGCTAAGGATCAAACCCAGTGCCTCACACGTGCTAAGCAAGTACTCTGCCACTAAGCTACAGCCCCACCCCTATACATTTGATTTTAATAGATACTACTAAATTATCTTGTAGAGTTTGTACCCATCTAAATAGGAGTGTTTTCCCCCATGTTCTTGCCAGGAGTATATATTCTCAAACTTTGGAAATTTTGCTAAACTGGTAGTTCAAAAATGATATTTTAGCATAGCTTTGATTTTATTCTTATTATCAGCAAAGTCTATTCCTTTTTCTATGAATTCTATTCTTATACTTATTTTTGTATTGAGTCAGTGAACTTTTTTCATTTGGATTTGGAGAAGGTCTCTATATATGAAGGAGATTAGTCTTTCATGATGTGAGTTTCAGATCTTCTCCCCAGTTAAATTTTCCCCAGTTTATCTGGGAGATAAACTGGGGAGAAGATCTGAAACTCACATCATTTCCCTATGCACAATTTTTATGTAACTTGGTTTATTAATCTTAGTCATAATATCAAGGTCTTCTAGGTCATCAAAATAATTCATATTTTCTTTTTTTTCTTTTTTTTTTTAAAGAGAGAGTGAGAGAGGAGAGAGAGAGAGAGAGAGAGAATTTTTTTTAATATTTATTTTTTAGTTCTCGGCGGACACAACATCTTTTGTTGGTATGTGGTGCTGAGGATCGAACCCGGGCCGCACGCATGCCAGGCGAGCGCGCTACCGCTGAGCCACATCTCCAGCCCAAAATAATTCATATTTTCTTTCACTACTTTTATTGTTTAATTTTTTGCATTTAAATCTTGGAAGTATTTGGAATTTATCCCAGTGTGTGGCATGAAGTATTGAGTCAATTTTTTTTCTAGATAGCTATCCACTTTTTTTCAACCATTTTGAGTTGTCATTGCTAGTGGAGACACAGAAGTCCTAAGTGTTTCAGGTCTAATTTTGGACTTTGGTTCTGTTCCATTTTTGCCTGCTCTTGGGCCAGTGACACACATTTTTCGTTATGTGGCTTTAAGGTGTGCTTTAGACTTTGAGCCTAGCTCCCCCTCTGCTCTTCTTTTTCAGAGTTTTCTGGCTAATCTAGTTTTTGCATATGAACTTTAGAATTATCTTTTCATTTGCAGGAAAAAAAGTTTTGGCTATTTTTGTTGAGGTGGGTTTAAATTTTAATAAATTAGTGTAATGCATTTTAGAATGGTTTTGTCTCTAAAAATTTGTCTTTCCATTTGTTCAAGTGTTCCTTATCACATAGGAACATTTTAAAATTTGTGGACTTATTTGTTATTTTTGGTTTTTTCCATTTTTTACTCAGTTCACTCCTAGAAATTTTGTCTGTCTTATTGCTTTCAATCAGGGTATGATTTTACTTCCTATGTAGATTGGCATTTAAGGAAAAGATATCCTTAATTATGCAAAGCATATTCTAGTATTTCAGCTTAATTTTCACTGTAAGTCGATACATCGACATTCTGCTATAATAGAGTATCTGGTGTGGGCAATGACTATGATCTTCAGTAAGAGATGGACAGTAATTCTCACATGCCAGTAATTCGGAGTTTGGAGCCTTCAATGCAGAAAGCCAGATTCTAGATCTTGGAAATTCATCCTTGTATATCTGATGTGTGTTGCCCAGTGGGGTGGGTGATTTCTTAGTAAATAGGTGGATCACCTCTCCCCGTAGTGCTATCATCATGTATGTCTTTATTTAAAAGTCAGTAGTTCGTCTAGTAAACTTGGAGAACCTTTTAGCAAGTCCATGCATGGTCTTTTGATATGAGGGCATATTTGCAGTGGTCCTGATGTTTCTGCAACTAATCATGAGTTAAAGGGCCTAATTCATACCAGAGGGCTTTGGGACATGACTAAGTAACCGCTGTTGGTCAAATTTTTAATGAAAGATTTAAATTCTTATATATTACAGAATTTCACAAACTTGTTTGGACAGCCACTAGTCTGCTTGCTTTCTCCTACGGCATACCCAAAAGCTTTACAAGGTATGTTCTCTCAGTGCTTGTTACACCTGTAAGTCACAAATGAAAAGTATCTGCATTTTTAATAATACTGATCTTTGTTTTTCCCTCTCACAATGATTATGAGTGGATTTATGGTGTCCGTGTGGCAGGTGTCAATCTGTCATATAATCAGAAACCTTGCCAACAACCAGACATTCCTAAAGTGTTAGGCCTTGAGATAATTCCTCCCTGAGAAAGAGATGGTTGGCCCCTTGCTGTTGGGGACCTCAGGATTTATAAACTATAATTTTGTTTTACAGGTGTGTGTTTTGATTTGCTTCTCATTATCCGTACATACCTTTGATTACATATTTTAGGCATCTTTTAAGACCACAGGATTGCTGGTCTAGGAAACTTCTCAGCCTATGCCTCAGAGTTAGGATAACCTATCTGGCATAACTTAAAGGGTTTATTTTTTTTCCTCCATTTTTACCTTGGAGTACTTTTTAAAGTAAAAGAACCTCTTCTAAGTCTGCCAGAGAGACGAGTTAGCAGCTGGGCGTTTCTCCAGTGGCTGAGAATTGACGGACTTTTTGCCCTTTCTGATTTGTACTTAATAGGTAACACATAAAACCTAATTCTAACTCGCAGTCATTGAGAAGATAAAATACTAAGCAAACCTTAACGCTGTTTTAGCAGTACTTGTCACTGTTTCACTATCTCCCTAACTGTGAATAGTGCTGATGTCTCTCTGTGGGAGATGGCATTTTACTGCTACTTCCCAGCCAGAAGTCCTGTCTGCTGACATAGTTTGACACAGGAAGTGATGGTCAGCATTTGAATGCCTGAGAGAAGCTGGAGACTTTCACCGTTGTTTTAAGGTAAGTTCTGCTGTTTAACAGGGAAAAACATATAGAAATACTAAGCTCATGTATCCAAAAGCCAAATTACTAAGGGATAGAACTTACCTTCAAACAACGGTAAAATTCTCCTGCTTTGAGGATTTTGTCATCCTGTTTCTTATTATTTCTGGAGGAGTGTAACCCATTCAACTCCTTGAGTGCTTTTTGTTGTCATTCTGTCCTATGATGATGTAGCTTTAGTTAAAATTACATGGTCAGGGCTGGCATGGTGACGCACACCTATAATCCCAGTGACTCAGGAGTCTGAGACAGGAGGATTGCAAGTTCAAGGCCAGCCTCAACAACTTAGCAAGATCCATGTCTCAAAATAAATTGAGGGGGAAAAAGGGTGTGTATGAGGGTGGTGTAGCTCAGCAATAGAGTGCTTGTCTAGTATAGCTTGCAAGAGGCCCTGGTTTTAGTCTCTAGTACCAAAAATCAAATGAATAAGTAAAATACATGTTCAGGATTGGGGATATAGCTCAGTGGTAGAATGCTTGTCTGAGGCTCTGGGTTCAGTCCCCAGTGCTGCAAAAATATAAAAATAAAACAAAAAAGAGTTATATGGTCAAAGGGGTTAATACCAACACTGTTTATCTGAAACAATTTATTATGTAGAGGAGGAAAAAAAATGCAGATTCTGAACATAGACTGAATTTGAATCCCCGCCTAGCCGCTTAATTGCTATGTGACCTTTAAAGTTACTCAGCCATTCTGTACCTCAGCATCTTCATCTTTCAAATGGAAATAATAATAGTACTTATCTCATGGGATAATGCTAGATATTCAGCATGTACTATTATTATCATTAGTGTGCTTAGTGTAATAAATGTCCTTAATACTTTTTCTTTAGGACCTTGTCCTTGTCTATAAGGCTTAGATCTCAGATACATTAAATAAATTATTCAATTACATAGACAAATTCAAAATTCTGCTGTGACAAACATTTAGGATTTATCCAGTGACATTATTGCTACTCATTCTACAAAGGGTGCTTGTCCTTCGCCTAGGCACTAAGTCGCAGATAGGTAAGCCTACAGCCCTTATTAGCCAAGGCTTAGCTTATTCATTCAACACAGTTATTCAGCCTGTATTTATCAGGCATTGTGTTAGGCTCTGGGAGTGGTCTCTGGCCTTGTACACATGGTCACATTTCTCACAGAGCCACAGTCTAGAAGATAGAGAACCTAACAGGCAAGTGCCTAAGTGCTTTGTGTCTTTCGTAAGAGGTGTCACAAGAGCACCTGCAGGGAGCTCCTGACCAGCCTGTGAGGGTGAGGCAGGGGGATTAGATAGTGTCTAAAGTGATGTCCAAAAAAAAACAACTTGATGTCAAGGGCATGCAGACTTTACATGGGGATGAGAAATGACAGAACAAGAGTGTGTGGTGGTCCTGGGATAGGAGGGCTCTTCTAGCTAAAGGGTACAGTTTGGGATATTGCAACTGAATGATGAAAAATCTCCTAAAACTTGTTTAGTAATTTGAGTGGAGGACTGTGGGTGTAAAAGAAATTTTAAACAGAGGAATAGCATGCAAGAGCAGTCAGCCAGCCCACAGAGGATGAGTTGGAGAGGGGCACTGAAGGGAATAGGGAGATGGTGGGGGCCAGAGTGTGGGCAACTGCCTAGGTTGCTGGCGTCAAAGACTCTAAGTCCATCAAACCAACAAAACTGTGATGAACTTGTTGTGGGAGGACGGAAGAACAGGGAGGAGGGGTAGACTTTAGGTCTCTGGCTCAGTGCTGGAGGAGTAATGAGAATTGAGGAGAAGCCTATTTGTGGAGAACTAAAGGGCGAGGGACTTGCTTAAAATTGCTGACATGTTGAGTTTGAGATGTCGTTGACAGTTACTTTGAATGTAGGATACTAGAGTAACAACATCCTATCAAAATGTAGAGCAAGTCACATATTTCATTGTAAATGTCTGGTGCCTACATTTTTAAAAATAAAAAGAAACAGGTGAAATGGGTGTTAACAATATGTCTCTTTGTACTTTCACTTGACTTTGAAATCTGGGGTGTCTCAGTGGGTCTGAACTTGGAGCAGTCTCATTTTTTTTTATACATTTATTTTTTAGAAGTAGTTGGACACAATACCTTAATTTTGTTTATTTATTTTTATGTGGTGTTGAGGATCGAACCCAGGGCCTCGCACGTGCTAGACGAGTGCTCTACCGCTGAGCCACAACCCCAGCCCCTGGAGCAGTCATATTTTAAGTGTCCACTAGCTACCACAGGACAGCATGGTGTTGGCTCTAAGGAATTCTGTCTGGGCCACATGAAGAGAATATGAATCAATAGGCATATAAATGGCTACTAAAATAACAGAAGTTGGTGCTATCAGCAGTAAGGCCAAAGTAGGAGACTGTTGACATTTAAGGGTTAATCAGAGAAAGTGCAACTAACAAAGAAGAATGAAAATGATTGGTAATTCTAGTACTTACCTGAGAATTCTATCTTGGATAGCCCATCAAGATAATCTATCCAGGCTTGGTGGTGCACACCTGTAATCCCAGCAATATGGGTGGCTGAAGCAGGAGGACCAAAAGTTTAAGGTCAGCCTCAGCAATGCAGCAAGGCCCTAAACTAAATAAGACTCTCAAAATAAAATTTAAAAAAGGGCTGAGGATGTGGCTCGCTTGTTAAGTGCCTCTGGGTTCAATCCTCCACCCTCCCCCAATAAAAGATTATCTTGGCCGCATTTGGATTAAATTTGTTAGTTGGAGTTAAAAAGTAGTAAGGAATATGTTTATTTGTTTACTAGACTCTTATTTTAATTTGTTCAGCAGAAGACAACATGCTTGGTGTGTGTTTTTTGTAAATTTATGCAGAATTTGCCAATTTGAATTACGTTTTAATGATTTAGCCTTAATTTTATACAATATCAGTATACTAAAATGTTCCTCATATTTATGTCTTAATCTTTTGCAAAACTGTTGTCTATATATGTAACATGTTTGTTATTGCAGATCAATCTCAACGAGGTAGCCTCTTCACTCTCTTTTTGAACAATCCTCTCATGGCCTTCCTATTTGTCTCTGGATTGTCAAGCATGCGTAGAGGCCTGTGGGAAAAGTGTCAAGAATATCTTCGAAAAATCAACCGTGATATTGCCCAGCTACTGACCCATTCACGTTCAATAGGTACCCTACTAATCTAACTGCACACTTAACAGAATGTTCTATAATGGGTTAAAATGCTTACTTATTTTAAATTGTTTTTTAACTTTTTAAGGTATTTGTCCTGGGCAGGAAAGTCAAGAAGGCTTTCCTGAAGTTTCTTCCCCTTTGAAATGTAGTTGTTGTATAAGCCTCCTTCTACTGTCACCTTTGTCCTCTTTGCAGATCAGGCATTTCTGCAGTTTTTTGGAGATGAATTTCTTCGTTTACTTCTCACAAGATTTATCTTTTGTTCAGCCACCATGAGGATGCACAAGATTTTTCGGGTAGGCAAAGAATATTAACTTACCATTTTCACCAATTTTACCATTTTAGTTATTTAAGAATCATGTATTATATTTTGCTTATATTAAATAAAGTTTAAATAGATAAAAAATAATGTTTAGAAATGAATATGTAAAGTATAAAGATTAATGATATCAAGACACGTTTGAATACCTACCTTCCTAATTAAGACCATCTTCATTACCTTAGAAATCCTCTCTAGGTCCTCTGATCCTCCTATCTCCTTTGCAAATGGAACTAACATCCTGAATTTTTTTTTTTTTAATATTTTTGAAGTTTGTAGAGGAGACTCTTTTTTTTTTTTAATATCTATTTATTTTTAGTTCTTGGCGGACACAACATCTTTGTTTGTTTGTGGTGCTGAGGATCGAACCCGGGCCGCACGCATGCCAGGCAAGCGCGCTACCGCTTGAGCCACATCCCCAGCCCCTAACATCCTGAATTTTATGGTTAAATTTGCTTCACTTTCTAATTTTGTCACATGTATTTGTGGGATTTTTTTGTTTTGTTTTTTTGCAATACTAAGGACTGAAACACCATATTGTTAAGCTACATCCTCAGCCCTGTTTTTATTTTATATTATGATATAGGGTCTGGCTGAGTTGCTTAGGCTGGCTTGAATTTGTGGTCTTCCTACCTTAGCCTCCCAAGTACCTAGGATTTAGAGGTCTGCACCATAGTGCCCAACTTATGTTTGTATTTCTGCACAAGATATTGATGGATACATATTGGTTTTTTTCCTTCAGTTATATTCTTTTTCTTTTTAATATTTATTTTTTAGTTGTAGTTGGACACAATACCTTTATTTTACTTACTCATTTTTATATGGTGCTAAGGATCAAACCCAGGGCCCCACACATGCTAGGCCAGCGCTCCACCGCTGAGCCATGACCCCAGCCTACTCCTTCAGTTATATTCTTGAGATTGAACCATATTGATAACTCCAGCTTTCTTTCACTTGTTTTGGCTATATAATATGAGGCATTATTTGACTATATGTCATAAATTATTTATCCATTCTATTGATAATGGATATGTGGATTATTGCCAGATATTATTATTATGTAAACAATGCCATTATGGAATTCTTATGTCAGTTTCATATGTAAGATTTTCTCTGGAGAGTATACCTAATGGCAGCCTTGCAAAGTCAGAGGATGTATGCACATTTAGGTTTATCAAACCATTTTCCAAAGTCAGTTCGTGTTCACACTCATACAAGCAGTGTGTAAGAGCTGCTATTACTCTGAGTCTTCCTTGCCAGTACTTGTTGAACTCATACTTTACATTTTATGTGAATCTGGTATGTACAGAGTCATAAGTTATTGTGATTTAAGTTTCTTCTCTAGGATTACTGTCAAGGTTGAACTACTTCTCCTATATGTTATTCTGTGTTCCTGTTTGTAAGAAATGTACTCAAGTCTTTTGCTTGTCTTGATAGTTCATTTCACACTGTTTCTTTTTGTGTATTCCTATACCTACACATTATTCCTTGAGGTTTTTAAAATGTTAGCCAGCCAGGCATGCTGGCACACACCTGTAATCTCAGTGACTCAGGAGACTGAGACAGAAGGATTGCAAGTTGGAGGCCAGCTTCAGCAACTTAGTGAGACCCTCAGCAACTTGGTGAGATCCTGTCTCAAAATGAAAAACAAAAAGGACTAGGGATATAGCTCAGTGGTAAAACGGTCTTGGGTTAGATCCCCAGTACTAAAAAAAATAAATTAAACATTGACTATTATATTTTCACTTCCAGAAGTAACATTTAGTTCCTTGTTTTCTTTTTTTTCCCCTCCTTTTTTTATTTATTTACTTTTATTTTGTTGTAATGAGGATTGAACCCAAAGGTGCTTTACCACTGAGCAACATCCCAAGCTCTTTTTATTTTTTACTTTGGGACAGGGTCTCACAAGTTGCTTAGGGCCTTGCCAAATTGCTAAGGCTGGCTTTGAATTAGTGATCCTCCTGCCTCAGCCTCATTTGGTTTCTTTTTCCAAATATTCCTGAACATTTTAAAAAGTCTTTTGCAACTTTCAGTTTCAAAATACTTTTTAAAATTTTATTATGACAATTTCAAAATGCAAAAGAATTGTACAGTAAACAGTCATATATGTACCCCATAGGATCTGTAGTTATTTTGATATGTTTGCATTCCATTTACTTTTCCCTCTTTCTGTTCACCAGTACATCTTTTTTTATGCATTTTGAAGTAAATCGTGGCCATCCCTAGACTTTCCTATCAACATTCCATCATGTATTTACATGTTCACAGTCTTTATTGAAAGTTTATATATAGGAAAATGCATACAACTAAGTATGTGATCGGGTGAGTTTGAGGAGGACATACCCTGTGTGACCCAGACCTCTGTCAAGTTATACAGCATAGCATCGTTCTAGAAAGTCCCCTGCGTACCCCTTTCTGGTCAGTCCACAACCCACTCATATTTAAACAGTCATCTATTGATGGGCAGTTTTAAATTATTGGCTATTATAAATAAAACTGCTTTTCCTTATAAATAAAAAGGCTTGTGTATGTTTTTATACAGACATGTGTTTTGACCATGTTTCTTTGGTCATGGAGCTGGCATGTGTTTAATTTTTTTAAGAAACTACCAGACCTTTTCTTGAAGTGTTTGTACCATTTTATACTCTGGCCGACAGTATATGGAAGTTGCTCTGTATCCTCAACAACGTTTGGTGTTTCAGACTTTTAACTGGTGGGTATGTAGGGATAGCTCAGTGTAGTTTTCAGTTTGCATTTCTCTAGTCAATGTTGACATTTAACATCTTTTCATGAGTTTATTTTGTCTCATTCTGTGACTTGAAGAATCTGAAAAAACAAAAAACTAAATGATTTTTTTTTTCATTTGTAGTTTGTGTATTAGCCAAGCATTCTTTGCCTGTCTTGAGGTTACAAAGATTTTCTCTTATATTTTTTCCTAGGATTCTCATAGTTTTAGCTTTTACATTTAGGTCTACAATCTATTTTGAATTAAGTTTTGCTTCCAATGTGAGGTAAAAGTTAAAATCTATTTATTTGTTTCTTTGTTTTTGTAGTGCTGGAGATTGGATCCAAAGGCACTCTACCACTGGCTTACATCTCCAGTCTTTTTTATCTTTTTTTTTTTTTTTTTTTAAATTTTGAGACAGCATCTTGCCAAATTTTCAGGACTGACCTTGAACTTAAAATCCTTCTATCTCAGTGTTCTTATTTGCTCGGATTATACCCATATGCCACCAATCCCAGCTTAAAGTTTAATTTTTTATTTGGATATTGCAAATGTTCTAGTACCATTTGTTGAAAAGATTATGTTTCACATACAGTGTAGTTATGCTACAACAGTGTATTCCCATGTGCTTCCTCTCATCATCTGTACTGCTACTGACCATCTGCCTTTTACATATAATATATACTGTGAAATACTGTGACTATCATAACATTTAACAATTGTCTTTTTAAAAAACCTTAATGAGGAAGAAGACTTTTTGTTTGATTTGGTTTGGTACCGAGGATTGAACCCAGGGGCATTTAACCACTGAGCCACTTCCCCAACCCTTTTTTGCATTTTATTTTAGAGGCAGGGTCTCACTAAGTTGGTTAGGGTCTCACTAAGTTACTGAAGCAGGTTTTGAACTTGTGATACTCCTGTCTCAGCCTTCTAAGCTTTTGGGATTACAGGTATCATCCACCGCACCTGGCAAGGAAGAAAATTTTCAAATATGTGCCATTTCTGACACTCTGTATTTCTGTGTATACATTAATTTTTCATCTGGTAGCATTTTTCTTAAATATCAAATTTCCTTCATGTTTCTTATAGTATAAATATGGTGTTAATGAATTCTCTTCTTACTTATTTACCTGAAATAGTCTCATTCCGACTTTTTTTTTTAACTCTCAATTATTGAGAAATATGTTGTTTTATATCCAGTGTTTGTTCATGTTCTGGATACTTTCTTCTTTTTTATATCTGATTTAATTCCTATATGGTCAGAGCATATATTCTGCCATTTGAATTCTAAATTTATTAAAACTTATTTAATTCAGTGTGTATTCTATCATTTTAAATATTCTGAGGATGCTTGAAATGATGGTATGTGCTAGTGCTTTTGGATGAAGTGTTCCGTAAGTATCTGTTAGATCCCATTGGTTTATAATGTGGTTCAAGTTCCTTATACTCTTTCTGATTTAAGTCTACTTGTGTAGTAACTATTGCAATGTGTAATGTGTCTTTTCGTTTTCCTCTGGCTGATTTTAAGATTTCCTCTCCATATTGTTTTCTTGTCATTTGATTAGGATGCACTTGAGTGGTTTTCTTGGTTGTTGTCATTGCTTTTCTGCATGGGATTCATCAAGCATCTTGAATGTCTGGTTTATAACTGAAAGAGTTTTTGGATATTTTTTTGGCCACTACCTCTTCACATACTTTTTCTTCCATCCACTTCTCTTTCTGGGATGTCAATTACACATATGTCATATAACTTAACATTGTTCCATAGGCCACTGATGTGTCCCTTCCCTTCCTTTGCTTTTCTTTCCATTTCTTCTTATCCCACCCCTTTTTCCCTGTGTTCACTGTGCATCATTTCTTTGCTATGTCTTTAAGATCTCTGATCTTTCTTTTGCAGTGTTGAATCTATTAACTCTGTCCAGTTAGTTTTTCATTTCAGACATTAGGTCTTTTCATCTCTAGAAGTTGTGATTGACACTTTTTAATATCTTCCATTTCTCTTATTTGATTTCATTTTTTTGAATGTGTAAAATCCTTATCTGCTAGTCACATGTTCCGTCATTATAGAGTTAGAAATTTTTATTTCTCTAAGTTTTTAGGCTCATTTTTAAGCTCTCATTATAGCTGGGTGTGTGGTGCACACTTGTGTTCGAAGTGACTTGGGAGGCTGAGGTGGCAGGATGGCAAATTCAAAGCCAGCCTCAGCTGTTGAGTTAGGTCCTGACAACTTAGTAAGACCTGTTTCAAAAAAAAAAAGAGGACTGGGGATGTGGCTCAGTGGTTAAGCAGGGTCTGCTTATATTGTTTTCCCCACTGGTTGTAGGTCTTGTATACCTGGTTCTTTATACATCTACAAATATTGTAATATAGCACAGAAAATAGACAATGTGAATTTATTCATGCATTTTGTGTGACTAGGAATTGACCCAGGGACACTTTACTCCTGAGCTACATCCCCAGTTCTTTTTATTTTTTTATTTTTACATAAATTTTTTGTACTGAGGATTTAACCCAGGGGTGCTATATCGCTGAGCCACATCCCTAACCCTTTTTATATTTTATTTTTGAGATAGGATCTTGCTACATTTCTGAGGCTGACCTTGAATGTGCCATGCTCCCACCTCATCCTCCCCATCTCTAGGATTTCAGGCGAGCATCATCACAGCTGGATGAATATTGTGAATTTTGTAATATTGAATTCTGGATTTTGTTGTCTTCCTTTAAAAATTATTGGAGAAACTAGGTGTGGTGGTACACACCTGTAATCTCTATGACTCAGGAGGATGAGGGAGGAGGATCACAAGTTCAAGGCCAGCCTCAGCAACTTAGTGAGTTGCTTAGGAAGGCCCCAAGTACCATAGTGAGACCCTGTCTCAAAATATTAAATAAAGGGCTAGGCATGTGGTTCAGTGGTTAGGTGCCCCTGGGTTCAATGCCCAGTACCCAAATAAATAAATAGATAAATAGACTATTTAGACTTTATTCTGGCAGGAATTATTTTAGTTGTGAATTTCTTTCATCTTTTGCAGCTACTATTAAGTTTTTACAGGTGGATTTGGAGTAGACTTCTTAGACCTAACAGGCATCATTCTTTTTTTCCCTTTTTTTTTTAACTATTTTTAAAAAATTTTTAATTTGTTCTTTTTAGTTATACATGACAATAAAATGTATTTTTACATATCATACATACATGGAGTATAACTTCCCATTTTAGGGGTTGTACATGATGTGGAGTTATACTAGATGTGTATTTATATATAAACATAGGAAGGTTTGGTCCAATTCATTCTACTGTCTTTCCCATTCCCATCCCTCCTCCCTTCCCCCCCACTATCTTCTAGAGGCATCATTCTTTTGGGGTCTCGTTATACATTAGCAAATATTTTGTACTCTGAAAGATGTTTAGTAACTCAGACATCATCTTGCTGTGAGCTGAGAGAATTGTTCAACTTATTGTCCTGTAGCAGTTTTTGACTTTTTTGTTTTCTTTTTAAAGTTTTGAAGCATTACAATTTTCTATTCTTCATATTATTTGTGTAGTAAAGTAATGTTGGCTTTGTCATGTTATGAGTAAATCCTATAAAGAGAGAGAGAGAGAGAAGTGACATTTAATATGTGAATTGTCATGTGAGATGCTTGGAAAAGTAGTCACTTATTTCTTTAGGAAATTGTAAATATGTGGCAGAATAGTCTGTAGAATTACCAAGTGAAGAAAACTTCCAAGCAAGAATTACCTGATTCTTAAAAAAAAAAAAAAAAAAGAATTACCTGATTCTTGAAATGGCCTTTTTGCTTCCATGTCAAGCTTTTTCAGTTTTATTTCTTTTCTGCCTGCTTTTCTTCCCCCCAACTTTTCTTCACCTTTATATATATCTGCTTATCTCCTTTCTTCACTCCCTTTCCTTTCCTTTTCTTTCTTGCTTTTTTTTTTTTTTTTTTTGAGAAAAAGGAAAAAGTTTATTGCTTTGCTAGCAAAGGAGAAATACAGAGGAATCTATCCCAAAGGTGTGATTCTGCCCATCATCTGGAAAAGCAATTTTCACTCCCTTTTCTAGTATCTTATAAATCTCATCCAATTTTCATTGCATCAATATTTATTTTTATGAGGAGTACATCAGTGTTTACATATACTGATTAAATCTATCTTCTAAGATACAGCCCTAAATTTTCAAGTTCTGGTTATGGGGCAGTTCTAATCTATTTTGCCCTATTATCTCAAACAAAATACACTTAAAACCTGAAGCTTTATACTGACCCCAAATTATATCCTCCTGTATCTCCCTTTTTCTCTCAGTAGCTCCCAGCCCTTCTGTCAAGTCATCCATTTCTAAAATCTTATTTTTGACATCTCCCTCTCCTATAATTAGTTACCAAGGCCCATTAAGGTTACTTAATAGGTGTTTCTCTTGACTTTCCCATTTTGGTTTCCTGTCATCTATCTATTCATCCATTGAACAAAAACTTGTTGAAATTCTATATGTGCTAGGATTTTCCCCTCAGCAAGAAGGAAAGACAGTTTCCATATGACACAGAACATCGTGCCTAGCAACCCATTCTTCAGCAAACGTTTGTGAAAAAACTAAGTAAATATATTGTTAAATCATGTGAAGTTATAATGTTTAGAGTTCTAAATGGTCAAATGTTAGTAATTCAATATGTTCAGCAAACATATTTCTAGAAATAACCATACCATAGAGAAAAACAAATATCAGGCTACTTCTTAATACTGTATACCTTTTGCATATAATTTTCTTCTAATAAATAAAAAGCTTGACTTTTCTCTTTGCCTACCAGGAAACACGAAATTATCCAGAATCATATCCACAACTGCCAAGAGATGAAACAGTGGAGAATCCTCATCTCCAGAAGCACATTTTGGAATTAGCATCCATTCTGGATGTTCGAAATGTCTTCTTTGAAAATACCATAGATGACTATTAAAACCATCTTGTTGAAACAATTTTTCATTTTCCACAGATTTTAAATGGTGCAGTTTTCTAATGTGATGACAGACACATAGTGTGTTACTTAGTTTTTATTTTTTAATTTAGGACCACCATTTTAAAAGGAAACAAAAATAAAATGTTCAAACTTTTAGGGTAACTGTTTTAAAATGCAATCTTTCAAGTCTTTTAGAAAATCAATTAATCTTGTAATTTTTATGTTTTGGTTTTGATGTATGGATACTTACTCAAATAGTCACTGTTCTCACTCTGAGAAGAGTAAATCATTTATTTTTGTATAATGAGAAAAATCCAACTCCTGTACCTGGACCTTAAATGTCCAGATTTAAAAAACATATAATTATTCATAATGATGAAACTGGCCAGCATGGACTACTAAAAATCAAGATAAGAGTCCTTCCATAATATATCTTTTCATTCCAAGTTAATAGGTAGAAAAATATATGATTTTCTGAAGCATGATTAAGACAGTTCTTGAACTCATTGACTTCTTTTAAATACTGTCAAATTTTCAGAAATGGTGTAGGATTGATTTTCCTCTGAAAGCTGTGTCTTAGACTTGAGATAATATTACTTGGGAATATCTGAGTACTGTGTTGTTAAGAGATTTTTTTTTTTTTACATATTTTGATTTCTTTGTAGTCTTTGAATGCTGGAAATGAAAGGGAAAACAGCTTTTAAACATTTCAGTCAAAAAATCAGGTTGTTGATTTCATAATACAAGTCTCCAGTTGGAATTGTATTTAAATACTTAGTTCATGAGCTCATGTTTAAAATCTGACTGGCTGTGGTTGTGACTCAGTGACAGTTTCTAATTTCTTTGTATAGTTCAAATGTATGATACTTCAAAGTCAGAGATACTATTATTTTTAGTGAGGGGTAACTGGTTGTTTATGAAAATTAAATTATAAATTGATTTTTGCATTGAAATTTTGGAAATAAGATTTGTTTAAACTCCTTGTATTTAGTTACTTTATATTCATGCAAATGTTTTATTCTTATTTTAAATGGGACTCAATGTATAATGTAAAATTTTTGTGTTTTCATTCCTTTCATCCCCTCATAATTTCACCAGCACTAGCTGTGAAGGTTTTTTCTCTTCCTTTGATTATGCAGTATTTATATTAAGAAATTTGTGAATCAAAAGACCTTCTTCTTAATTCTCTGTATGGTTTCACAGTCTACCTCTGGCTGTCCCAGGGGAAATTAGTGATTGCTTTTCATACCTTTTTCCTATGTCCATAGAGAAATTTTACTGTAATATTTTTAACATGGTTTTCATTTCTGGCCAATAATTTTGGGCCTGTTTCCCCATACCTGCTCCACTTTGCTGATTTTTTCCATGTGAAGTCTTAATGTGATTGTTCTTCGGTTTAGGGACTTTAGGGTGCTTTGTTTACCTTTTTGTTCTTTCAAGCAGTATTTCAGAATGCTTGGGAAAAGTTATCTTAGAATGTGATTTCTTTGGCTGGTGTGTTGTTTTTCATTTTCAGGTAGACCACTTTCCTTTTGTTTCAGTACCTTAGTATATGTCATAGAATTCCTTTCATAAGTGTTTACCGAACCACAGCAGTAGTCATGAGTTGACTGGCCTCTTGTTCCAAATCCCCTGAACTTCTATACCACTTATATTTCTACCAACACACATTTTCCTGATTCTCTAGTGTTTAAAATAATTTTCATTGTCCTGAGCCCTATCCTCACCAGCTAAGTATAAGGAATACTGGTCTGAGAACCAGGAGATCTTAGTTCTGATCCTAACTTTCCCAGTAACTGGCATTATGCCCTTTGACAAATGTGTTCATGTCTCTTCCTTTTACCAATCTCCCACATACAATGGAGGGAGTGACCCAAGGTCCTTTGCAGCTCCGTGACTCTACCATTTGGATTCTTGGTTCCAAAATTATTGATTTCCCTACCCTCACTACCAGGGAAAATGCTTTGTTTTTTAGCACACACAGCATTCTTTTCTAGATCATATTTATTGAAACTCTGTTCAAGAAAAAACCTGGATTCCAGTTAGCTATTTTAGAGACCAGTTTGGAGAGAGACTGTCTTGAAGAAAGTAGCTGTCATGATTAGAAACCTGTCCACCTCAGGAAGCACAACAGGGATTTAGATAATGACATGGCCCTTTAAGCTAATAGTAATGTAATTCCTTACTGGTAGGCAGAGATCTAAAATGGTATGAAGGGATCTTGAATCTTTAAGGAGAGCAAAACTGCCATAGAAAATTCTAAGCTATTGTTTCATTCATGCCTTCATGAAAATTGTATATTATGCAACCAGATTTATTATACATTCCAGATTTTCTTCTGGGCTCTGGCGAAACAATATCCTTTTTCTTCATGACGTTCACATTCTCACAGAGAAGTCAGGCAATAAACCTAAATAAAATTTATGTTAGCAAATGATAAGTAGGATGAAGAAAATTTATATCATGGGAAGGGAAATCTTTTGTTTGTTTATTGAGAGAGAATATCTGTGTTTAAAAGAGAGACTAGGGTAAGCATCATTTGAGAATGGGGCGTCTGTACAAACACTTCATATTCTGTCTTTACTTTTTATTATGGAAGTTTTATACAAGAGATTAACGATTCCTTCTTGTGCCCTCTGCCTGGCCTCTACGTTTTAAAGCGTTAATCAAGGAAGAAGAAATGTAGAAGGACAATCACCTAATGGGCTCAGTGTGACAATGCCAGTGAATTTTGTGTTTTAATTGCTTCCCACGTATCTTTATAAAAATCTTAAGCCCTATTTATTTAATTGTAGAAGTCATAAAAATTTAAATATTGGAACCAACAGCAGAGCAAAGCAATGGGAAACAACTTCCTTTCAAATTGCACAAACTCCCTGGAGATTCTGATACAGTCTCTAGTCTCTCTTAAAAAATGATCTTAACAAATTAGCATAAAATTGCAAGCAGTCCATTTATAAACAAAACAAAATGAAGCATAATGAAATTTTCTCTTTATCTGATTTTTTTTCCCCTTAACCCAGGGGTGCTTTTACCACTGAGCTATATTCCCAGTCCTTTTTGTTTGTTGGTTTTTTGTTTGTTTTTTATTTGAGACAGGGTCTCCCTAAGTTACTTAGGACCTCACTAAGTTTCTGAAGCTGGCCTTGAACTTGTGATCCTCCTGTCCCAGCCTCCCAAGCCCTGGGATTACAAGCATATGCCAACCACACCCAGCTTCTTTATCTGTATATTATTTCTCAAGTTGGTAAAGCAACCATCTTCCCTGTTTTATGGAAAAGAAAGCTGAAATCCAAAAAGCTATCTGATGATTCATAATGATAGAACTAGAGTTCTCCTAGTCTCAGCCCATCTTCCCAATAGCTCAGACTCTTTTCTATAATGAACAAGAAAGTAGTTATTAGAGATTTATATTTTGACACAAAGGGTTTTGGTACTTTTTTAAAAAAACTGTATCAGACTTGAAACCAGTGAGTTAGTCAGTCCAAACAAATTTTTGTTTATTAATTATAAAAATCAGCTATTTTATCTTTGATTTCATCCAGGATGTACTATTTGTATGTTTGTGTTTTTCTCCCTAGAAAGTGGTGCTCTCAAAATCTCTCAAAGCACAGAATTCATTGTGTCCTTTATATTTTTACCAAGCTAAACCATTTTGAGAGTATAGAAACAAAGTGCAATCCAATTCTGATATAGGATCTGATCCACCCTCCATTTGTGGCTATTGCCATTCATTTTCTTTGTGCAATAGAATTCCCTGGCACAAATTACTTGGTAATTGTGCTCAATTTAATTAAAGTAAAGGGAAAAGTGACAAATCAAATTTGTACATCAATTATGGAGCTTTATATTCTTCTCCTTAGTTTAATCTCTGACCTTTGTGATTTAATAATTTTATGTCTCTGAGGAGTGGTTTGGATCCAGTTGAAAAAAATCTTGTACTCAGTTATCCATGGAGACTTGTAATCAGCCTAATCTCCAGGGAACATTCTGGACTGGAAATATAGTAAGGTGCCAAGGTCTGCAAACTTGGCCACTGACAGTAATTCAGAATCACCCACCCACCCCATGTGAGTAAAAGACTTGATATGAATATGAATGCTTTTAGTCTCCTGGTGATGTTTTGGGTGTTTATGTTCTTGTGTGTTTATCTGGAAAATATAGAGTATTTACGTTGAGGGCTCTATTTTGACTTATTTATTTGAAATTCTTATTTTTTATGGCATGTGTATATTTTTGTGATGCTAAATGCAATCCCTGTGTATACTTTTTGTACATACATGTACATATCTGTAAATATATTGGTATGCAATTATGTAGTATGTGTATATTATACACCCATACCCATTGTGGGCTGAATTTATTTAAGTTCTGTGAGGACATCCTAGTGGCATTGTTCATGCTGCTGTAATTAGGTTGTGGCTGGATCTCATTCACAAGCCTCTATTTTGAGGGGCTTGTGTTGGGATAAAATGAGCTCATTTGGAGTTGAAATTAGGATATGAAGATCTTAACAGAAAGCTGGACATGCTTAGCTTTAAAATAATCTGTAAACTTCCACTTAAGTGGTTGATAAATTAATGATATGACCCTAAAAAACATACATATGTGAACTGCAACACCAGCAGGTTCCTAAGTTGTATTACTCTTTTATGTACTTGACCATAGTTATCATTACTGAATAGTAAACTTTTATGTTGGGAACTCATGTAGGGGGTATGGAAAAAAATTTTACTTTGTCACATTTTTAAATAGGTAAGAAATTGCCCTTTAAGTGAGGGAAATATGTTCCTACTTGTCCTTTCAATACCTGATACTAAATTTTAAATTTGTATTGTTTTCATTAATATGCCTCGTTTTATATGTCTCTGTGAGGCAAAAAGGTGGGGGTCATTAGCTAAGGAAGGCCTAACCTAGGTGGGTAAGAGTTCATGAGTAACAGGAGGCTGTTAATCTATGTATTTGCAGCAGCTATGATTACTTTAGTCATGTCTTGGCATTTCTAACTATAGATTTTTCTTATTGGAATTGCATTTCAAAGATGAGTATGGTCATCTGAGAAAATGCTCCCAATGAATAGAATGCCTCCAGATGTATGGCTGAGTCTCCATGAGACCACTTGTGTTCTGCAATCTGACCATATATTCACACATGAAGTAGAGCTCTTAAAATTAGGTGCATAGTATGATATAAAAACTTGGGCCTTCAAACCTCTACCAAGGATGATAAGATTGGGGCCCATAAAATCATAGAAAATAAATGAAGTGCCAATTTGTGAATCTATGGGCTATTGCAGAGGGTCAGTGTTGGGTTACTTCTGTCTTCAATTGATGTGTTTATTTGCATGAATGAATGTAAGAGATGTTTAATATACACTTGAATACATTCACTGCAGAAATTAAGTAGAAGTTATTTTTGCATGAAAAAATACAACTGCAAAGCAATGTTTGACCCCATTCACATTAGATTAAAGTTCAAAATTAGTTCGGGAGTCAATTTTACCACCCCAAAGTGTTACATTTGCCTCCTTATCATATTTTTAATTAAACATTCCCTATTCACAACACTTTTCAATTATAGTATTAAGTTTAAAATACAATTATTATAGTCTTAAATATGAAAACATAATGATGTATTATTTCTGAGAAATCAGTGAAAATGCCCATAGACTCTAATGTTTTG